TATTACTGTTCACTGAAGTGGATAAATGGGCTGAGTGCTGGCACAAAATCCTTAAGGGTGGAACTGCTCTTAAGTGAATGAAAATGTACGTATGCGCTTTGTTCTTACAATATTGGCGGAAACTTTTTTCATATTGTATTTGTAGGTTGTCATTTGTTAAACACACTTTTTTTTCATGTCCATTGAAATTTCATTTCAATGTCATTTTAAGTGATAAAACCAACCGTCCTGATTATTTTGCGGTTTCGCTAATTTACGTTCAATTCCTGGTTGTAAACAGTCGATGATTATAATTGACAGTTCCTTACAAGTTTGATAGGAACAGATTCGACATGACCTCTTAATTAGCCATAGCCCCAATTGTTCATGGAACTACACTTGTCCAGTGTATCACATTTGATATTCCTGTCGTACGTAGGACAATAGCTTTTCATTCCTGTCCCAAGACTCCCAACTAAGTATCGCGAATAATATTTTATGTCAATAAAGGGGAATCATGACCAGTACTACTTGCTTCAATTAGAGGGTGTTGCAAACATATATAAATGTTAGCTACAGCTTCCTGAATAAGTTAAAGGCAACAGTTGACCTTTAATTATCCCTCAATAAAAACATTGAGTTGTTTTTAAAGGTGAACTGTTAGTTTAGTTTCTAAACTATCACCTGAGTAACAATTAGGTCCTTAAATTATTTTTTCAAAAAAATCAATCCTTGAATTAAAAAAAATATGTCAATTACATCTCTAATATTAGATTCGAAACTACTATATTAAATTTTTCGTCAATTTAAGTTACGTTACTTGCATGTGATACACATTGGAGGGTAGATTGGTAATTTTTCATAAAGAAATAGTGTATGGAGTAACTTTGGAGGGTAAATTAGACGTTAGAGTCACAACATATATGAAATGTTAAGGGCTTATCGGTGAAAAATGGCGGTATTACACTCTAAAGTACGTCAAGTAACTTAAGTTGACAAAAAATTGGATAAAATAGCTTCGAATATAATAGGAGGGATGAAATTAGCCATTTTTAATGAATTTAGGGACTTATTTTACCGAAAAAATAATTTAGGGACCTAATTTTCACTAAGGTGATAATTTAACGACTAAATCGGCACTTCAACCTTGTTTTTAAAGAAATAATTGTACTTGTTTTCCATCAGGTAAAATATGGCATAATATGCGCCAATTTTTTTCCTCGGTGCGAAAATTTTGCTTGATGGAGTTTATAGCCTATCAAAATTTTTTGTCGTCTAAAGTCTCTAAAACAACCCAAACGTTGACCACTTTTGTCCGATCAAATTTTTCATTTCGTCGAGTAAAGTTACTTTGCCCGCCAAAATTTGGTTCGTCAAACAAATGATAATTTATAGTAATGCAACTAAATGGTAACTCGTTTCTATATTTAATGGTGACTAAAGTCCTATCATGGTGGCAACAATTTGTGTCAGTCAATGCCCAGGTTGCTCAGCCCCATGGGCTACAAAATCTTGGCCCACCCAAATGGACAACACCGCCTTCTGGTAGGCTGAAAATCAATTCGATGGTGTTTGGAGTGGGGAGAACAAATTGGGAGGAGTAAGCATCATTGTGAGAGACGACACAGGATTCTTTGTGGCGGCTGCCTGTCGGAACTTTCATAATGTCTCATCCCCTCTTCACGCGGAAGCTTTAGAAGCCAGGGAGTGTGGTTTGGGCCGCCACAAGGGGTTTTAAAAATCTATTAATAATTATAGGTGATTCTCTTTAGATTGTAAGAACGCTAGCAAATCTTTCCCCTAACCGGTCATCAATTGGCCAGTTAGTGGAGGATACAAAGGCTTTTCTTCCACCAATAACTGAAGATTTGTGTTCCCATATTCGTCACCAAGCCAACACCGTATAGCCCATTGATGAGTCCATATTATACCATATATTTGACCCTATTTTTTGTTATAGCTTATTGGTCATTTTGGTAGAATTTTGATACTTTGTTATATATTTTCAAGTAGAACATTCAACTTCCTCTGGAGCAAAAAGTGATCAAACGGATGAATTTTGGAGTGATTCAAATTGGAAGATGTTCGTGAGCCTTTCAAGATGATTGTATCAAAATTCCAAATTTTTCTACCAAGCCATTTGACCGTGGCAAAGAAAAGAAGGTCCAGTGAGCAGCTTTCCTAGATTGATGTTTCTGAACATTTTGGGCATTTTGAAGGTCAAGATGGCATATTTTGAGGATAATTCCTTCTGAGGATTTTTTCGGGACAACTTATGCGTTCAAAAGAGACCATTTGGGACCAAATCCGAGATGGTTTGGTTGGTCAAAAGTCTGATTTTTTGAGAAATCCGAATTTCAATTTAAATAGGAAACCTTTTATTTCCTAGTTTTCTTATTCTATTATGTTTCCTAGTTTTTAGAGGACCTTTTCTAGGAAGGATTTTATTTTCTAGTAGTATAAATAAGGCTATTTAGCCATTAGTGTAGGGAGGCATCAATTTGGAGAACTTAGCTAGGCTTTGACGATTTGTATTTCAAGGTGTTTTCTATCCTATTTCTATTTCAATAAAATTCCTTTTGTTTTATGGTTGTTCATAAGTAATTTATGTTTTCTAGGACGATGCCTTGAGCCTTCGCATGAATATGTACCATTACTATGTTTAAACTGTCTCTATATCTTAATGATTAGCTACCATTACAACTGTTTAGATAAGTAATCGGTTGCAATTCGGTCGGAATACCACTAGAAGATTGAGTATTGCTTCTTGTGAATGATAGTTGTAATTTCACCTAGGGCGAATGCCACATCTTATGGGTTGCATGGTTTTTCAAAGGGTTTTCACAAAACATAATGAGTCATGCATGTTTATATTTAATCTGAATGCCACAGACAGATTGCATGTTTGATATACATTATAGCTTGAATGCCACAGTAGAATATGCATCAAGAAAACCTAACCTTCAAAGTGCATGTGTAAGTCATAAGTAATTGGTAAAACTACGTGCAATTGTTAAGATGACGACGGAACCCTAGGCTTTTACAATTTTGTTTTCAAAACATTTTCTTTTGTTTTCTTTACTTTGCTAATTCCTTTAATCATTTTAATTAAATTCGTTTTTATTTTTTTTAAATTCAAAATCAACTATTTCCAATCTTTGTTTTCAAATTATTAACTAAGATTTTGGTTTTGCACAAATTATTCATTCAATCCCTGTGAAAACGACCTTACTACAACCGACTATACTACAACTACATTGTACTTTTGCATGTATTTTTAAGTGTTTTTATTCGTTGCCAAGCCAACATTGTAGCCCATCGCCTAGCTCGGTTCAGTTTTTCCATTGGCAGCCACTGCAAATGGCTATCAAGTCCACCTAACTTCATTTTGGATCTTCTAATTGAGGATTGCTTGTAAATGATCTCTCTATCTACTTGTAATCTTTGATGTACAACCTCAAAATTTATGTGTATATCTAACTCTTTCACCGGCTTACATGATCGTACACTTTGCACTGACATCTAATACTAACTCGGAGAATCATATCCAATGGTGTAGGCAAACACAATCGAAAAAATTTTACTATAGTGGCTACCCTAGTGGAATTCACACAAACCCAAGAGGTTGATTTTTTTAATCGGCAAACCCACAACTAAATGAACAAACTGGACGAAGGCTTCAATGAGAAATAAAAATGTTACTTATTTTTTATTTTTTATTTATACAAACAATAGCGCTAGTAGGTTAAATCGTTAGTTATTTAGAGGAAATAGAATCAATGAAAATCGAACTTGCACGATGATGCATTAGCATTACTTTTATATTTTATATAAAAGTAAATAGTAAAATTTAATTGTTGGAACCACATGGAGTATTTAATTACAAATAAATATGCGAGGTCATGTGGCTCATCAAAATGAGTTTGGATACTTACCTGCCAATTCCGTTGGAGATGCTCTAAAATTATAAAGTCTAGAGTTTTTTCACAAAACTATGATGCCAAGACATGAAAATTGCAAGAATTCTCTTCGAATCACTCTTTGAAAATTACATAAGTTGGACTTAAAACTTCTCATGTACGATAGTACAAGTACAAGAAAATATCATTAAATCGTAATACTATGTATCAGCGTGTCCAACAATCTCTTCATGAAACTATACTCGTCATGTGTATCACATTGATATTACTAACGTAAGTAGGTCAATGGCTTTAGATCATTCTTTTCCTTCGTCCCAAGACTCCAAACTATCAGCAAGTAGGAATAATATTTTATGTCAGTCATGACCAGTAGTACTTACTTTCTTACTTTAACTATAATGTATTCCAAACATGTGTAAATGCTAAGATATAGCTTTCCGGGTGATGCACGGGTATTAGATAGATTATCTATTTAAATTATATTTTGTCCATCACATGATGCGGCGGGTGGTGATTGAATTTTTTTAAATAATTTAAATAAAATATCCAATCATATACCGTTACATAATGTGATTTACAAATTATTTGTTTAAATTATATTTTGTCCACCGCATGATGCGACGGTTGATAGTTGAATTTTTTTTAAATAATTTAAATAAAATATCTAACAATCAACTGTTACATAATGTGATTCACAAATTATCTATTTAAATTATATTTTGTCTACCAAAGGCGGTTGATGCTTGAATTTTTATTAATAACTTAAATAAAAAATTCCAACTATTAACCGTTATATAATGTAATTTAAAAAATATGGTTTGGAAAAAATAAAAAAGCACTCTTAGCATTTTTCCGTAAATAAAGCAAGTTACAGGCAACAGCATGACCTTTAATCTTCCTTGATAGAGACAACAGCTTCTACCGCATAAATCGTGTACCACATACATACCAACCTTTCCATGCAGATAAAGTCATGCAGCTGTACTACTGTCCTTTCACAAATTAACATCTCTTCTTCATCATCAAGCTTCTGTTTCCTTGGAGCTCAAGTGATGCACTGCTGAGCCATATTATACGTATATATAATGCATGGACAAACTAGAATTATTGTACAGCCTGACACAGATCATTCGGGCCAAAAAACTTAAAAAAAACCACATCGAATTCCCTTGTCAATTAGTTTCGACAAGCACTTTAATAATGTCCAAAAAAAAAATGAACATGTAGTTTCCATGAAGGAGCTGTCCGTGACGAAAGTTACCAAAAGAGGAGGTGGACAAGCAAGCGGAGGAGACCAAGACCAACCTGCAGAAATCACCACCATGGAGCAAACTTCAGAAGTGAGAGTTACAATCCATGAGGAGGCAATAATAACTAGTTGGGGGAAGAAACTAAAAAAACTGAAGGATGCATTGGCAGAAGCAGCTCAAAAGCAAAATGCCGAGCCAAAGATCCAAAAGGTTCCCTTCTTGCTCCGTGATCACAAAAATTTCGACAACTACTACGATCCAAGGGTAGTAGCATTCGGTCCTTACCACCATGGTGAACGAAAGTACAAGCAGGCAGAGAAAGTCAAGCTTCAATTGGCAGCACACTTCATCACAGATCGCGATCATGACCAGACTAATTACGGTGAAACTTTACTCAAGATGGTTGAGGACAAGATTAAGGAGCTAAGGGAGTGCTATGATGAAGAAGCAACAAAGGACTACGGTGACGAGGTACTCGCGTGGATGCTGTTCGTTGATGGGTGTTCGATGTTGGAATTCATATACAAATATGACAATTTGGAAGATATTAACATCAAGAGAGACCGAGTGGCATTTGCAGAACAGGACATGCTCTTGCTAGAGAATCAACTCCCCTATCGACTCCTCAAGTGGCTCTTCGACAAGAGCAAAATACGTGAGAAATTTAATAACTCAATCGAGGCTTTTGTCAAGATGCATGGTGGGGAACCAAAAGTTAATGCCACGGAAAGAGAGCCACTTCATCTTCTTGACCTTCTTCGGACAAGAATGGTACGTCCACCTAGCCTGAGTTCAAAACCAGGATGTACTCAACTTCTTGACCGTCTTTGGAAAAGAAAGGCAGGACCTTCACGTACAGAACCAGGAAGCCATTCATTTCGCAACGTACAAGAGCTTCAGGCAGCTGGGATCTATTTTAGGCCTAGTGATGAAAACTCATTGAGGGCCATATCTTTTAAGCCTTGGTTTCAATGCTGTGGATTCCTTTATCTTCCTAAAATAAAAGTTGACGACTCGATGGGGCCTAAGTTCATGAACATGATAGCCTACGAAATGTGTCCTGATTTCCAGAATGATTTCGAGGTCACCTCTTACATAGGCTTCCTCGATTCGCTCATTGATCATCCAGACGATGTGAAGCACTTGAGGAAAAAGCGCATAGTTCAAAACTTGCTTGGGAGTGATGAGGAGGTGGCTCGACTCTTCAACGAGATAGGCACTGACTTGGTCCCTAACAATGCGATTTACCGCAATGTTACAGCACAGATAGAAGATCACTACAAAACCAAGTGGAAGACATGGATGACTCAATTCTTTCATGACCATTTCAGTAGTCCCTGGACTATCTTTGCTTTCTTTGGTGTTCTATTAGGACTCGGCTTGAGCGGTGCCCAGACGTGGTATGCAATCTTTTCCAATCCCTCTCCATGTGATGCCGTATGCAAGTACCTGAAAACACACCCCGGCTGAGTGATTCAGGTACATGTCAACTCTTCTGCATCTTTCATGTGGTTATATTATAGTATTCCCAATTACCGTTACCTCTGCAGTTTGTCACAAGTCATAGTTTCTCAACGCTCCTCTTTCCATTTGATATTCCACTGTACGCAAGTGTGGCCACTAAAATAAGTGAATTGTATTTTTGTTGTTATTGTGTGGAAACAAATGAATTAAAATGTACGTGTGCGGTTTGTTCTAACTGTATTGGCGGAAACTTCTTTCAGATTGTATTTGTAGGTTGTAATTTTTTAAACCTTATTTTTTTTTTTTTGGTTTGTTATGCCTTTGAAACTCCATTTCAATCGTACTTTGTTATCCAGAACTTAAATTTTATCACTTTATTCCCTGAAATTCAATTTTCATTTTCCTTTGTCATTTTTCGTCAATTCTGTTAATAATTCTGATAGTACTCTAACATGACATGAGTTGGGTCGACTTACCTACTTGTATGTCTGCCACACCATTGCCAAGTCACTTAAAAACTATTTAAAAAGCTGCTAACGTGGGCTACAGAGGTTCTTATTCCCCTTCCGTTCCAGAGATTTTTCATTGCAATCAGAACATAAGGTAGTACATCATGTATTACCATACAAATATTGGATATGTGTGTTAAAAAATTAATAACTTAAAAAATAAATTTTCTACTACTTTTATAAAATCATGTAGTGTACCATCCGTGTTCCGATTACAAGAAAAATTTCTCCTTCCCCGCTCTCCACCCTACCACCATAGAACCCACAACAACCGCACTCAATGCATTTTTAGGGAACTTAAATTTCAATCTTACTTTGTCATCTGGAACTTAAATTTCACTACATTATCTCCTGAAATTCAAATTTCGTTTTCCTTTGCATTTTTTGCCAATTCTCTCAATAATTTTATTAGTACTCTGAAATAACATAGGGCCAATTTACCTACTTGTATGTCTACCACATCATTGCCAAGTCACTTAAAAACTATTTAAAAAGCTGCTGACTTGGGCTACAGAGGTTCTTATTCCCCTTCCGTTCTCCACACTACCACCATAGAACCCATAACAACCCCACGCAACGCATGTTCAGGGAACCTGTGCGATGGATAATCCTTTTCATTATTTGGAACTAGCGTTTGCCTATTCATTTTGTGTGGATGGACACATGTTTTTTAGAAAAATGGGAAGGAGAGAAGAGGGAGAGAGAGAACGTGGGGGGAAGTGTGAGGTTTTTGTTTTTTTTTTTTTTTTTTTTAATTTTAAATATTAGATATATTTTAACATTACCTATATACATGCAAAGGTGCGGAATTGAGAAAGAAAAACATTTTCACAATCATGACACGCTATAATAACCAAACCGGAGATTTGTATAATCACGCCATGAATACGCAAATCCATGCATATTCATCACGCTAAAATAAGCCCAAGTCACATGCTGGGGCTTGCCAAATAAATTGTGGTGTGGATGGTTACGAAAATTTATCGGGCCTATGCGAAGTCAAGATTGTGAAAGACTTTGGGCTACTTGAGAGCCCAAAGATCCAAACCCATAATCTTTGAAGTCCATGTAAGTGAGTTTTAAGAGAGAACAAACCCAGTTTTTCTCTTCTTCGAAAAAGAACGCTAGGTCCTCCAGAAAAAGGTTTCCGATAATCAATTTAAAGACTAATCCATACAATCCCTTCGCAATGTACAAGAGCTTAATGCAACCAGGATCCATTTTACGCCTAGTAACCGTAGCTTTTTGGGAGACATAAATTGAATCAGAGTGTGCAATTAACAAATGAACAAACTAACTATAAACTAATATAATTTTATTAAGTGAAACAAAGATTGTCATGACAGCTACATAACCCAAGAGGCTACATTGTGAATGACTTATTAAAAATAATTTAATACAAGCACTACTATATACAGTGAAAACTAAAGCAAAACTAATCCTTAACGGGAAAGAAACTCTAAGCGAGCAATTCAAACAAGCAAGTGTCCAAGCAAACAAGCAACCAATTCCAGCAGGCAAGCAAGCACATTCCGAAAACAGCCAATCCAAACTTATTTTTAGGTACACAACCTCACTTAAGTGATCACCAGTCCAATCACTTGAATAATCATCGTAGTGATAGGCAAGACTTTCCAATTCGAGAGTGTAGGCTTTAACCAACCAGTGCAGACACGGCCCAACACGGTAGGCCCACGTGGGCCTCAGTCAAAAGCAACCAAATATCTTCTTTCCTTCATTTTTTTTTTTTTTTTGTTTTGCTCTTTATTCTTGGGGCTTCCTTCTATAACACAAATAACCTTTATTTTTTTTCATCTCTGGGGACTTCCTTCAATCACGGTGCAGATGATGCAGGTCATTCATCAAGTGATCCGGAGGTGTGGTGTGAGTACGAGACTGCGGCAAAGTGCAAGGCGAAGACGAACTCGATACGAGTCTGTGGTTCTCGGGTCTAGGCTTTGTCAAAAACAAGCGGTGGGTTCGTGATGGTTCAGGTTGAGCAGCAAGTTCTGGTGGTGATTTGGTCAGGCAGATGAAGCAGCAGGGGTGTGGATCAAAATCTCGGTTGGTCAGGCAAGGTAGTCCAACGGCAGCCCGGTGGTGGAGCAGTGGATATTGATTGCAGCGAGTTTGCAGGAACAACAGATGGCGGTGGTTTGTGTGAGATCGTGGAGACGTGGTTCAGGATTGATCAGCAGCTCCGGGGTGCGGGTTTCGGTTCTGATGATGGAGTGGTGGTTCCAACAGGACAAGGGTCGGGCTGGGTCATACAGATCAGCGCACGTAGATGGTGATGTGGGTTCGTGGCGGTGGTTCCGAGTGTCGCAGATGACGATGACATGATGCAGCAAACGTTTTCAATTTTTTTTTTGGATAAAGTATAAAAAACTATTTTAAGTATTAGTATCACGACACTTTCATACTTTATTTTTTAAAATCGACAATATCATACCTCATCTTTAGAATTTTATCCAATATTACACTTTCCGTTACTTGACCGTTTATTTTTCAGTTAAATACTGACGTATCTTGATCTGAATCCCACTTTCTATTAAAAAATTAATAAATATTATTAAAAACTAAAAAAAATATTTAATAATTTTTAAATATTAAAATAATAAAAAAAAGTTTAAAAAAAAAAAAAAAAAAAAACCATATGTTCGTACCCCTTCCCCCCCCCGGGGCCCCTCTTCTCTCTCTTCTCCCCATCTTCATCTTCTTCTCCTTTCCAGTCCCCTTCCTGCAACCCAGAAAAAAAAAATAAGGAGGAAGAAGAAGAAGAAGAAGAAGAAAAAAATAAAATAAAATAAAATAACCCAAATCTGCAAAAGAAGAAGAAGAGGAGGAAGAAAGAGGAAAAAGGAGGAGGAAGAATAAGAAGAAGAGGAAGAAAGAGGAAGAAGGAGGAGGAAGAATAAGAAGAAGAAAATAAAATAAACCCGAATCTGCAAACGAAGGAGGAAAAAAAAAAAAAAAAACCCAGATCCCATTGAGGTGGAATTGGGAAACCTTCGTGACCTCCTTTTTCTTCCTCTTTCTCCTCCTTCTTCTTCCTCTTCTTCTTCGGGGGGTTACTGAGGGGTTTTTTTTTTTTTTTTTTTTTTAATTATTTTTACTTTTCTTTTAATATTTAAAAAATATTAAATAAATTTTTTTTTAGTTTTTAATAATATTTTAATAGAAAGTGGGTCTCGAATCAAGCCATATCAGCATTTAACTGAAAAGTAAATGGCCAAATAATGGAAGGTATAGAAAGAGGAAGAAGGAGGAGGAGGAAGAATAAGAAAAATAAAAAAATAAAAAAAAACCCAAATCTGCAAAAGAAGAAGGAGGAAAAAGGAGAAGGAAGAAGAAGAAGAAGAAAAATAAAAAAATAAAAAAAAACCCAAATCTGCAAAAGAAGGAGGAGGAAAAAAAAAAAAACCCCAGATCCCATTGAGATGGAATTGGGAAACCTTCGTGACCTCCTTCTTCTTCTTCTGCCTCCTCTTCCTCCTCCTTCTTCCTCTTCTTCTTCGGGGGGTTACTGAGGGGTTTTTTGTTTTTTATTAATTCTTTTTTACTTTTCTTTTAATATTTAAAAAATATTAAATAAATTTTCTTTTTTTAGTTTTTAATAATATTTTATTAATTTTTTTAATAGAAAGTGGGCACCGAATCAAGCCACACAACCTTTAACTGAAAAGTAAATGGCCAAGTAATGGAAGGTATAACATTGGACCAAATTCTAAAGATGAGGCATGACATTGTCAATTTTAAAAGATGAGGTATGAAAGTGTCGTGACACCAATAGTTGAGGTAATTTTTTGTACTTTACCTTCTTTTTTTTTTTCAAGCAACAAAACCCTAACCAAGACAAATTGATACAGATAACAAACAATATCAAACCCCTAAAGCAAATTAATTCTCGAAGGATTTAACCTGCTCTAATACCAAGTTGAATATCAAAGTGCAATTAATAAATGAACAAACTAACTATAAACTAATATAATTTTATTAAATTAACGAAAGATGCAATAACGATTACATTACTCAAGAGGTTGCATTATAAATAACTTATTAAAAATAAATTAATAAACACTATGATATACAACGAAAACTAAAGCAAAACCCTAATTCTCAACGACCAAAAAACTCTAGTATCCTTGGCCACAAAAAAATGTAAATAATAATAAAATAACTAACTAATTTTCCAACAACATATCTTTCTTTCTTTTCTTTTTTTTTTGACAGAACAACGACATATATTTTGTTTCTCATTGATTTGCAAGATTCCTTAGTCTTCCTCTAATATCAGTAGACGACTCAATAGGGCCTAGGTTCTTGAATTTGATAGCATATGAAATGTGTCCTAATTTCCACAATGATTTTGGGGTCACCTCTTACCTCGGCTTCCTCGATGCACTCATTGACCATGCAGATGATGTTGTTAAGAAGCTAAGGTCAGCCGGTGTCTTTACAACTTACTGGGGAGTGATAAGGCGGTGGCTCATCTCTTCAATGAGATTGGCACTAACTTGGTTCCTAACACTGACATATACTGTGACGTCAAGGCCGATGTAGAAAAACACTACAAAACCAAGTGGAATGTCTCAATTCTGTCATGATCATTTCAATAGCCCCTGGACTTTCTTGTCTTTCATAGGTGTTTTAGCAGCACTTTGGTTAAGCGTCTTCCAAACTCGGTACACGGTCAATTCTCCTCCG